GTCCAGTTTATTCCTTTCTTATTCTCTCAATCTTGCCAGATATATATATGTAAATATAATATGAATATTATATTTACATATTATATTTATATAAAAATATATTTATAATACATCAATACATAAATATATATAATATTACATATAAATATATATATTACAAATATAACAATGTCGGCAAATATTACAGAGAAAAAGATATTATATAATTAAAAATTCTCATAAACAACTTGCTATGATTAAGCCTTGTGAATTTCATCATCTAATAGTAGCCAACGATTGTTTACTGGTTACATTTAATACTCATCAAGAATAATTCAGTCTGTGATTTAGCATCCTGTAGAAAGTGAAACAAACATATTGCTAATTTACATTACCCCAAAAAACTTTGGTTAATATTTTGAAATAGAGTAATTCACAAGGACAAAGACTACTTATTCTTGTGGGTTAACACCAGTCCTTTAGAGTTTTGAAATCAATAAACTTGTATAATTCAGTAAGACTTCATCATGTAGCTAACAATATATGTTACTTTTATTATTTGAAAAAAATTATACTACAAAATGAATTTCAACAACATATTTATATTAGATAAATGAAAAGGAGATCAAGTCAAGGTTTGTGGTATATGACAAGTGTTTCTTTGAATTATAGGATATATCTAGTATCAAAAGGTTTTTACTATGGCCTCAAATAAACATGAGTGTGGTCAGAATGCACCTGCTTTCTCAAGTCTCTTATGTCTTTTGTTACAGTACTTTTATAAACATAATGTATAGATGATATACAATGATTGAATTTCATTTATAAAAAAGAAATTGCCATATCTTAAAAATTAAATGTGAATGTCCAATCCAAATTACTAATTTCAAAAATTAAATGTTGCTAGATAGATAAAGGCAATTTTCAGATAAATTGTATTCTTCAATAGCGGGTCTATCTTACCATTCACAAGCTGGACTTCAGTGTGTTTAGTGTGATAAATTGTTCTTCTAGCTCTGTCTCACCTTAAACAGTGTTTTTACCTTGTATCTAAATGTCATTGAATGGTTAGACTTATAACTCTGAGGTAGGATATATGTGCTCAGGCATGTATACATACACCCCACGTAATATTCTTCTCCACCTTAAAGGCTGAGTGAAGTGTTTTAACATAGACACAGTGAACTGGGACAGGAATCATGCAAATTTTTAAGGTACTTAATAGGAAGAGGAGGAAATACAGAAGGCTTTGAGAAAGCCAGCATGTGGCCAGAAACAACAGCAGGTGTGGCCATATGGCAATCAAATTAGAAAAGGGATTCTTGCCACACAGCCTTCCAGAAAAGAGTAAAGCCCCAGCAGCCCTCATGGAGGGATGATTTGTTAAGTACATTTTACTTATTTTATATTGCCTCTTTCACTGTTCAGTTCCAAATGAAATGTAAATCCATTTTGCCAAACTGATATAAAAATTTTTCTTAAAGAATAAAAATAATCATTTTGAAATGCCCTTTTACATTTAGAAAATCTCACTATGCTGAAAGCACATTTCCAAATAAAGCGTTAGCTAAGCTGAGATCATTGTCAAAAAAGCAAAGTTTTGCAAGGCTATAATTTAATGATGCTATTTTACTTTATTGAAACATTTGGTAAGATTATTTAATATTTTAAAATTCCCTTAGTCCAAGACAACTGTTAATAATATAAAGGTATTTGTTTAAGATTCCTTAACTTGTAAAATAATCTTCTATAGAAGATTGTGAAGCACATTTTCCTATTAAAAATTTTTCTGAAAACGTGTTTTAGTTCTCAGATTAGCTTTCAAAAACTTGTTTGACCTACAAAATAACTAGAGTTATATTATTAAGTCATTCTTAAAACATATTATAACTATTGTATCATGTTGCTATAATTTCAGCAGCACTCATGGGCTGCAGTTGTGTGTGTGTGTGTTTGTGTGTGTGTGTGTCTGATCTAGTCTGGGAAAATGTCCATGTTTTGGTCTCGTCCTTCATTGTTTTTTTGTTTTTGTTTTTGTTTTGAGATGAAGTCTTGTTTTGTTGCCCTGACTGGAATGCGATGGCACGATCTTGGCTCACTGCAACCTCTGCCCCCAGATTCCAGAGATTCTCCTGCCTCTGCCTCCCAATTAGCTGGGATTACAGGCACCACACCTGGCTAATTTTTGTATTTTTAGTAGAGATGGGGTTTCACTATGTAGGCCAGGCGGGTCTCGAACTCCTGACCTCAAGTGATCTGCCCACCTCGGCCTCCCAAAGTGTTGGGATTACAAGCCTGAGCCACGTGCCCAGCCTCCTTCATTGTTTTTACCCTGAGGGAAAAAAGGATATTTGTTCAGAACTCAGACCTTTGAAAATCTTCCTTCCCCAAGAGTTTCTTTTTTCTCTCTCTCTCTTCCTCCGTCTGTCGCTCTCTCTTTTTCTCTCTCTCTCATACACACATACACCCTCTGTCTCTCTCTTTTATTACGTTGATGACAAGCTGGCCTATAATCAGAATGAAGACAATGTTCATATTTCAACCTTGAATTCTCTGGTTTCTGCTTATATTTAGCACTACACTTCTATTTCATATGACCAAGTTTTTTGAACACCACCACAACAAAAGGGTAACTAATTATCCAAACAAACCAGTGGTGTTTAAACATTGATTGCTTCACTAATAGCATTTTTTCAAACAGGATTATTGTGTTTATTTTGAATATAGAAATTATCTTGTCTACATAAAAAATGGGAACTTGTAGTCAGTTTCTTTTTAGAGTGCCTATTCTACTTCTACTGAAATTAGTTTACATGTATTTAACTTAATAGAAGAAGGCCAGACTTCGTTTTTCGTTTTTGTTTTGTTTTTGTTTGAGACGGAGCCTCACTCTGTTGGCAGACTGGAGTACAGTGCCGAGTTCATGACTCACCACAGCCTGACCTCCTGGGCCCAAGCCATCCTTCCACTTCAGCCTCCCGAGTAGTTGGGACCACAGGCATGCATCACGATCCCCAGCTAATATTTTTTTTCTTTGTAGAGATGAGGTCTCACTATATTGCCCAGGCTGGTCTTGAACTCCTGGGCTCAAGCGATCCTCTTGCCTTGGCCTCCCAAAGTCCTGGGATAACAGGGGTGAGCCACTGTGCCCAGCCTCTTCATTGTTTTAAAATGGGCTTTTTGTAGGCAATCTGTTTTGGTTCAAGACTTTTTTTTTTTTTTGACTTAAAAATCTAGCTCTTAAAATAAGTTTACAAGTTATAGCAAAGTAAAGAAAGCCAAAAACCATAATAAACATCATTGCCTCCATTACTCAGATGTTAAAACTCTTAGCATTTTAGTGTATTTGCTAACAGTAATTACTAACCTAAAACATATGGCTAAAGCCCATTTTGTTCACTTCTAGTGCTCTCTATTCTTATGTGAGAGGCAACCACTAACATGAGTTTGGTGATTTTTTTTTTCTTCCCATTAAATAAAATAACATATATATATATATCCATCAAAAATGTATTGTGTGTAGTTTTTAATGTCTGTGTGTGTGTATTTAACATGTATATATACACACTATATTATGTATACATTTGATATAGTTTAGATTCTGTACCTTACTTTTTTACTCAACTTTTTTTTTTTTTTTTTTTGAGTCAGGGTCTCACTCTGTCACCCAGGCTGGAGCACAGGGCTGTGATTTCAGCTCACTGAAGTCTCAACCACCCAGGTTTAGGTGATCCTACCACCTCAGCCTCCTGAGTAGCTGCGACTACAGGGACACACCACCATGCCTAGCTAATTTTTGCAGACACAAGGTTTTGCCATGTTGCCTAGGCTGGTCTCAAACTACTGGGCTCTAGTGAACCGCCCTCCGTGGCCTCCCAAAGTGCTGGTATTACGGATGTGAGACACCACACCCAGCCCCTAACTTTGTTTGTTTTTTTATTTATCCTATTGACATATATAGATCTACTTCCTCCTTTTTAACTGTTTTATAACATTTCATCATATGAATAGAAAATATTGTATTTATTCATTCCTTTTTTGATAGGCATTTCTAATTTCCCTTCTTGATAGTTTTTCTGTTATTCCATTATTACTTAGGTTTAAGTAACTTTTATAATCACAGAAATATTTGAGTACTTAGGATTTGCATGTTTATATTATATAGCAAACCAGTCTTGAATATTTACCACTGGAGTTATTTTCTTCTTATGCCTCAACTATAGCAAAATGGCAAATAATTCAAGACATTATTTTTAACATCAAATGTAATTTGTTCAAAATTTACATTAATCTTTCTCATAACTAATCACTTCCATTTTGTCTTCCTGTCATCCTGAAGAATGAAAATGTAATTTCCCAGAGGTTTTAAGAATTGGGGGAGTATTAAATGTAGCTGAAATTAAGTGATTAATAATTTACTTCCGGGTCTTGAATCAACTTCATGGGATGCTAAGGATCATTTGCAACCCCAGAAGAATGAGCAGTAACAATGCACTTTTTCAGACCCCAGAAATCTCAAAGGTTGGCTGCCCAACCTAATTAAACTTCAATCTTCTGATACCAAATTTATTTCTTCTTTGTACTGCGTTTCCTCAGATCTTCTTGACAGGAAAATGTCACTTTGCCTGACAGCTGATAGACAGGTTATGTAGCACCATAATTGAAGAGAAAAGGATAGCTTAAAGCTTCTCGATTTAATGGCTACGTGTATGGCTTTTTCTTTCTTTCGCTCTTTTTTTTTTTTTTTTTTTTAAGTTTCTATGACAGACACAAAAGGTCTGAGCAAATAGGCCCAGTGCCATTTTTTCCTGCTTCCTCCAGGGGTAATTATCTTACTCCATCAATAGTGCTGTCAGAAATTGAGCACATAATTCAGCATTTAAATGAACAAGCAATGTAATATTTCCTGTCTCCCAGTGGAATGCTTTGCAGCTCACATTCTTCTCTGTCACTTGCTCACTCTTGATGTATGTCCCATACCCAGTCCTTGAATGCCTTCTCTCCCTTGTGTTTCATTGCAGATGTTGGCTCCGACTTGACACCTACTTCATTTGGAGTTTTATAGGACCAGCAACCTTGATAATTATGGTAAGAATTCCTAATTAACTATGTGTTTCCCAGCTCAAGATATAAAACTTTCACTATCCCAGTTCTGACTGTCTTTAATTTACAGAGGTTAATTTGGGGAAAGCATGTACTTATTTGACCCAACATAATTCAAGCAGTTAAACACTCATTATAGTCTATTTTATGTTGTAAAATAGTTAATCAAAACTGGTGGGAAAGAAAATATGCATTTGCAAAAGCTTATGGAGCTACTCAAGGGTCCAATCCAACATAATCCATTTGGTTTCATAGATAGTTGAACAGGGATAACTCTAAGGTTGACAACAGTGTATTTCCATTATTTTTCTTTTGGATAATTTGAATTGGGAACTGATATAACTTAGAAAGGTGGGAAAATACCTGACTGTTCCTATCAGCTTTGTTTTTTAAATGAATCTTGAAAACTTTAAAATTTAAAAGCAAAACTTTAACACTTTACTTGAGAATGGCACAATCGCATTAGGCATACATTCTGGAATCATGCTTCCTTTTCTGTTTTTAGATCCATAATATTCTGATTTCAAAAATGGATTAACTTAATTTAGGTAAAACAGTTAGTAGAATTGCTTATATACTTACCATTTTAAAAATACAAATTTGCTATCCATTTTGTGAATAAAATGTTAGCCTACTGACTTTGGATCAATATAGGTCTCCAGTTTCTTATCTGAAATCTTTGGGACAAGATGTATTTTGGAATCAGAAAGTTTTCAGACTTTGGAAAGATAATATGGTACATACACTGCATAATATACAATAACCCTATTGAGGAATAGGCAGTTACCCAAAGTCAAATACATCAACAAATACTCACAGTGGAGACTAGGCAGCAGTCTGTAATCAAATACAATATTTCAACAGAGAAAAAAAAAAAAAAGGAAAAGTAAGAGCAAATAGTGGAAAGACCATGGACAGCCTTATGTCAGTTCAAATTAGGTTTTCCCACCACATACATGTACTTCATGTTAGGCTTTTTGGTCACTGAATGGATTTTTTTAAATAACTTTCGTTTTGCAGACTTTTTGGATTTGGGGATGATTGATAAAGTGTTGCGAACATGTATTTTTGACAGAATTTCAGGAGCGCCTTTATTGCCAAGTTGTGGAATATATAAATTAATCAAGTGGTAAAGGGCAACTCACTATGTGGTTTTTGTACAGTTTACCTGTGTGTGATACATGAAGTCTACATCAGAGCTTCCTGTTTTTCTGTTTTGTTTTGTTTTAAATTTTATGCTTTCTGTGTTTCCAGTGACATGGCAATACCACGGGTGGTTCCCTTTACTTTAGTCCTAGTTTATTGTAGCATCAGAATTTAACCAACATTTTATAATCCTTTTGAACTAGCTACACAAAAATCTATTGATTTTAGTATTTGCATTTTTGTAATACAGTATTTGAAAATGTGTCACTAAACAATAAATTTAGATAAATGTTCAGAGTGTAGAAATAGTAACACACCTAAAAAAGTATTGTTTTTGTTTTGACATACACTAGACTTTGAATTGTTTCACAATTTCCACAGCATCATTCCAGCTGATGCTGATTTTGTATTTGTGTGATTTGGCATAGCAGGCATAATAGTGCTTTGTAACTCAGTAGTATCCCAATTCTCAAAGCTGGCTTCTTGCCTTTACTAAAACACTAGGCAGTCATCTATGATCCAATTCCTTTAAGAGTGTACTGAGACCTAATTTCCCAGAACAACTCATCTGTTACAGAGAATAGATGTTTTTTTTTTTTTCCTACTCCAATTATGCTACATAACACTACCTTTTGCATTCCAGCTTAATGTAATCTTCCTTGGGATTGCTTTATATAAAATGTTTCATCATACTGCTATACTGAAACCTGAATCAGGCTGTCTTGATAACATCAAGTAAGTGATTTTTATTTTTGTTTTCTATAGGTTGCCTTACATTTATACTACAAACTATCCTTTCTATTATACCAAAATCTTACGACAAAAAGATAAAGAATTTGCTGAATAGATTATTGATTGACTATCAAAGTGACTTGATCTGCCTGAAAATAAGTATAATAAAGTTCTGTTTTCAAAGATACTTTTTCTCCTAAATTCTAATTTGGAACATGATAAGTTTTAAATATATATATTCATTTTATCCTGAAAACAAACACAACATTTCCATTTAGGACAGATTATTCTGTTTTTTTGTTTGTTTCTTTTTTTTTTTTTTTTTTTCTTTTTTGAGATGAAGTTTCCCTCTTGTTGCCCAGGCTGGAGTGCAATGGCATGATCTCAACTCACTGCAACCTCCTCCTCCCGGATTCAAGGGATTCTTCTGCCTCAGCCTCCCAAGTAGCTGGGACCACAGGCTCCCGCCACCACGCCCAGCTAATTTTTTGTATTTTTAGTAGAGACAGGATTTCACCATTTTGGCCAGACTGGTCTCAAACTCCTGACCTCAGATGATCCACCTGCCTCGGCCTCCCAAAGTGCTGGAATTACAGGCGTGAGCCCCCATGCCTGGCCAGGTTATTGTTTCTTAGAGTAATTACCACATCACTTCCTCACACTCCTCTCACTCCAGAGCAATGTGATGAGAGCCAGACGATGGTACCTACAAGTACCAAAAGGGGAATTTTACATCACAGAAGAGGAACCCTGGAATTATGAATCTGGGCATTTATATAAGAGCTGTTACATGGCTGCCATCTTCTGAGAGAAATAAAGAAACCTTCCTAATGTAAACAGATACTTTGTAATATAAAAATATGGCTCTACGTTTTACCTCCCCTTGAAATATTAACGCTTAACCTTCTGGGAGCCAAAATTAAATCTCTCCAGAAGTCTTTATCTATTTAATCATCTCTCAAGTTTGAAAGTTTGTTCTTTATCCCAACATCTACTTTTATATGTTCAGGAAGTTCTGCCATGCAGAAATATGAAAACATTCACATTACTTTTCAACAGTAGTAGTACTTTATGTGGGCAAAAAAAAGTAGCTGATTTACATTTTCTGAAAAGAAGAATAGTTGCAATCCTTGATATGACAAAAAAAAATATTGTTTCTTTGGAATGTATCATATTTTAGAAAGATAGTAATATTTAAATGCATATTAGTTATTAAGATATGATATATTGAATTGCATTTTCATATAATTTGCTTATGCTAGTGTTATATTTGTTAAATGCTTTTATTTAAATGAATGTATTTTCAGAAGTTTCATGAGGTAATCTGTGACTTTTCTGTGCTACTGACATTCTCCTTGAACTACCTCAGATAGCAATTATGTCACCCATTTTCCATCTTTCTACATTCAATGCCTGACAGTTCCTGGCCCATAGTAGACCCTCAATGAATGTTTACAGAATAAAGTAATATATTAAAGACTTTAGTGCCTAAGGTGTATTGACATTAAGTAGTTAATTTTGTTGAAGGAATTATTTATCTACATTAAATAAAAAGGATAACCAAGGAATTAGAAAAATTAAAACATAGTGGTGCAAAATAGAAATTATCTACAATGAGTGATAGCCTTTTGTAATTCTCAATATTACTTAGTTGAGCTAGTAGTCATCATATTGTTTAATTATGTACAATTAAACTGTCCTTCTGAAGTACAGTGTTGGTTTCTTAGACTATTTGTTCTGATGAAATTGAATTTGGCACATATTCAATTTAGGCACATAAAATATATTTATCATATTGTACTTTTACCCACTTTAGCACAAATTACATCTTTGTACCTACTTTGTAGTATAAAGTAAAACACAAGTAACACTTTATTTATTATTTATATTATATATTTAAATACTAGCAGAAATAAGGGAATAAGACTTTAACATTTATGTAACACTAGGTTATAAATTGGCAAAAAGGATCATTCTTTGTCCTATATTTCAAGTATACTTTTTAGGTAATTTTTTTTTTCTTTTTAACTTTTTTGTCTAATTCAACAAAAGGTAAAGCCTTTGCTTAATTTTAACTTTATGATTTGTATTTAGTACTGTCACATATTTTAAAAATCAATTTGTTTGAATAATGTTCATATGTATTTTTTTACATAATGTGGATGAATTTTTATGATATTACTGTTTGGAAAAATAATTAAACATGAAAAAATCAATAATTATATTTAGTGGCATTGGTAGCATCAAGTTTTATATTACAAAGCAAATAAAGCCTTAAATGAAAATATCTTAAATTCAATTATGTCTAAACTGCCTTCTAGATTATATTCTTCGGAAAGTGCTTAATCTTCCTGAGTCTTCCTCTCTTTGAAATGGGTATAATAATGAAATATACCTGACCATTAAACGGGCAGAAGAACATAAACCTTTGATGATGCTTTTTAAAAAATTTAGTAAATGAAGGAGAGAAATTGGGTAGTTGTTAGAAGGGGTATAGAGGATGGCTTTTTTTTCTTTGTTTTTATTTTTATTTATTTATTTATTGTTTCAAGAGGTAGAGTCTCGCTCTGTTGCCCAGTTTGAAGTGCAGTAGTGCCATCGAAGCCCACTGCAGCCTAAACCTCCTGGGCTCAAGATATCCTCCCACCTCAGCATCCCTAGTAGCTGGAACCAGAGGCATGCACCATCATGCCTGGCTAATTTTGTTGTTGTTGTTGTTGTTGTTGTTTAATAGTGATGGGGTTTCATGATGTTACCCAGGCTGGTCTCGAACTCCTGGCTTGAAGCTATCCTTCTGCCTCAGCCTCCCAAAGTGCTGGGATTACAGGCATGAGCCACTACACCTGGCCTAGGATGGTTTTAAGTTGAAAGAATTATGAATATGGATATATTGATGGAAAAGAACCAGTGATAAAGAAATTAAGAATATAGGAAAGGAGAATTACTGTTATAGTTGTGATGTGAGGTTGTGTAGAGAATGTGATCCAGGATAGTGGTAGAGCAATTCCTCTACACTGGATTTCAGGAAGGACATTTGTCCAGTAAGCTAAAAGAAGCCAGGCAGGAGGATCCGTTTCCACTGAGACTGAATGGAATAAATAATGATAGGTGTGATGCCGATATGTTGGTGGAACTGGGGTAGCGCAGTGAATTGAGGGATTTCTGCGTAGTCTCCTCAGTGAGTTAGGAAAGATAGTTTTTGGCAGGATAACGGGACATGTTGAAGAAAAACAACGAGAAAGATATCTCCAGAAAATATCCCTTAATCTTTTCCAGAATCTGAAGAAAATTTCATTTTATTTAAAATACATTATATTAACTGTTTAAGAAGTGGTTGTAAAGAAATCAGCAGGGCATAATTTATAAGGAAAAAAGGAGTTAAGAAGAATAATAATGATGTTGAACATTAACTAAAACTGAAAATCTGGCTTTTTTTTTTTTTAAACAAGAATAAAGCTCTGTATAATATGTATTCAAAATGGTATAGGAAATGTGAAAGTGTTCGCTTTAAAGATATAAGCATCATTTATCCGGAAAACTTTTTTTTAGTATATTGGGGAAAGCATAAAAGTTAATGTTTACTTGTATTTTTCAAAAATTTTTGTAAAATGGTGAACAAGACGGGTCCCCTTGTTCAATGTATTAAGCATAAAAAATCACCACATAAGGCCCTTTGGAAGTCATTGTCTTTCTAAAACAAGTCATTCATTCAGTTACCAAGTATTCGTTGCTTTGATTATACACGTTCTTTCACACACATATATCTCCTTTATCTAAAATGTGTTTGCTTCTCCCCATATTCAGTGGCACTGTTTTCTTTAAGCCACTATCATCTTCAGAATCACTGCAGTGGTCTCCTAACTTCTCTACCCACATCAATTCTTGCCCCTGCCTTCACCAGACAGATCTCTTGAAAAACTTAAAACCATTCATACAACACTCTGGGGTAAAACTCTTCAAAAAGAGCCCATTACTCTGAACTAAAGGTCAGACTTCCTGCCAAGGCCCATTAAACCTCCCTGATCTAGTTGCCGTTTTCTTTCTTCAGCTTCATTTTATGCATTTTGGCGCTCTGGCCATTCTAGATATGCTCTCTTTTGTCTCAGATCTTACCTCTGTTGTTTCTCTACTGACTTTCATTTCCCTAACACTATGACTGGCTGACTCCTATTTATCCTAATTAATTGAATTATTATTGTATTATCTTAAAAATTAACTTTTTAAAATTCTAAATTTACTGCAAGTCATCATAGAAAACCCCTTTTGATGTTAATAGAGAACATTTAATTAGTTGGCTTGTTACTATATTAATGAATTCTCTAGAAAAAATAATAAAAAATAGAGTGAGGTAATATAGGTAATATGATTACAGGGGAACTGAGATATGCCAATTCTTGGATTTAACTAAAAAAGTAATTAAAATTAAATAATACTTGTCTGTATTATTTGCTGCTTGCTTACTTGTCCTTTGTCTCTTTTTCATTCAAATAGGTAATTATAGTTAGAGGAAAGAATTTCAATCATTTGAATATTCTCCTTGAGTTTCTGACAGGTCAAAATCAATGCTTACAATTATCATAGCAAAACTCTAACCTAATTAAAAAATAGTATATGTAAATATGAATAAAACTATTATTGAATTGTTACCAGCACAAAATTAACTTACAGTATGGCTGAAGTACTATGACATGTGAAACTTTAATTTGTGAGGAGACTTTAGAACTCTCTTGACATTTACCTTCAAAATAAAAATGGGGCCGGGCGCGGTGGCTCAAGCCTGTAATCCCAGCACTTTGGGAGGCTGAGACGGGCGGATCACGAGGTCAGGAGATCGAGACCGTCCTGGCTAACACGATGAAACCCCGTCTCTACTAAAAAAATACAAAAAATTGTCCGGGCCTGATGGCGGGCGCCTGTAGTTCCAGCTACTCAGGAGGCTGAGGCAGGAGAATGGCGTGAACCCGGGAGGCGGAGCTTGCAGTGAGCCGAGATCGTGCCACTGC